CCCTGGAGCTCCCTCAGTCCTGTCCCCCCCTCTGTGAGGGGATCTGTCCCCAGTGTCCATCCCAGGGGACATTCCCTGTCCTGTCACCAGTGAAATGTCACCACGTAGGTGACACCTGTGTCCCCCCCCACCCCTTGATTTACCTTGTCCCCATCTTCTCCAGCAGCACCTGGGGGTCCACCTGGACCTGGCAGCCCCACAGGACCCTGGATCCCATCTTGACCAGTTGGACCCACGGGACCTCGTTCACCCTGTGGAAGGAGAAGGACTGAGATCAAAGCTGGTTGGGACCCATGGGAGACACAGGAGGTCCCAGTGCTGCCCCACACATCTCACCCCACACATCTCACCCTACACCTACCGGGGAACCCTTCTCACCCACAGGACCTGGGGGACCCTGTGCACCCCCTCGACCTGGTAGTCCAATGCCTCCAGCAGCTCCTGTGGGACCTCTCTCTCCAGGAGAACCCTGAGGAGAAGACAGAAGTGAAGGGAAGACCCCAAAACTCTGGATAACCCCTCAAAAATCATCATGCTTTGTACTCACCACAGGTCCAGGGGGACCAGGGGGACCTTCCCCACCTTTCAAACCAGGTGGACCCTGTTAGGAGGATGGAGAAGATGGTTAGAAAGGTCCCTGCTCCCCTTTCTCCAGCAGCTCTAACAGGTTGTGTCCAAGCCTGGGACAACACTGACCATCTCTCCTGGTGCTCCCCGTGTCCCGGGGAACCCGTGGATACCGGGGGGGCCGCTCTTACCGGGGATGCCAGAGGGACCAGGGTCACCCTGTGAGGTGGAGAAGAGCAGCAGAGACCTTTGTTCCATCCCCACCAAGCTGGGGAGAGGCCTCGTTGCCCTGCAGAGCTCAAGGTGGGGGGGGGACCCAGCCCTGCTTGGTTCAGGTTTGGGGTGGTCCAGGTGAGACCCTCGATGTGGTTCCTACCTTGGCTCCTTCACGACCAGCAGCTCCAGGTAGTCCCTGTTCCCCAGGGGGGCCAGGGGGTCCTGGGTGTCCCCTTTCTCCTACAGGTCCTGTCTCACCTGATTTACCCTGTGGGGAGAGAATAAGTTATGTGGGGTGGGGCAGGGTGGGTAGAGGGGGGGTCTCCATCCCACCAAGCTCATTTCAACACCTCCTGCTTCCATCTCTACAACTCACCTGGGGTCCCACCACCCCTGTGGGACCTGGGGGGCCAGTTTTGCCATGAAAACCCTACAGAGAAGAGAAGAGTTCATTCATGTTGGGTGTTGGTAGGTGACCCCCACCCACCCCCAGACAAGGGGAGGACAGAGAGGACCCACCGACTCTCCTCGCTGTCCTGGGTGTCCTGGCAAACCATCCTTCCCAGCAGGACCCTGGGGTAGGAGGAGAGATAATGGGGTGGGGGGATACAGGGAGGTGTCCCCCAACACCATCTCGAGCACAGGTAGGACCCCAGACACAGATGCCACCACTTACAGGGGGTCCTTTGGCACCTGGGAAGCCGTTGGGTCCCTGTGGACCTTGGGGACCCTGTGGGAGGGAGTGAAAACTCAAGGTGAGAGGCAGAGGGGGTGCCCCACAGCACCCAGACCCTCTCCCCAGGCCCAGCACCCCTTTTTCCCTCTGCTCAGCCCCTT